TGAAAGTGTTACATAAATGTATAATAACAAAAAATTACTGAAATTAGGAAGAACTAGCTTAACAGGAAAAAAACGGATGGTCTGAACATCCTCTACAACTTTAATTTCTCCTGGTCTCAAGATACAAGGCTTGGGTTACCTTTATACTGCTAAATAAAACAGGATGACTGACTGTAGTCTGGCCCTGAGATCATCACAGCCACACCTCATCCATGTGTCACTTGGCTTTGGATCTCTCTGACTCTCACATAGGGTCCTTCCAGCCACAGACAGTTGCTATTTTTCCTCCTTTTTCCTCTAATCACCAAGTGCCTGAACTAAAGTGAGGACCGTATTATGGGTCAGTGCTGGAGTATTCTCATTGCGTAAAACCACAGGTGTGCATTGCATTTACAGTGAGAGCATCCAGGTTTTTTGAGGGTGCCAAATCCTACAGAAGGGCACTGGGGGAATTTGCCAAGCTGAGGGAGCCACACGAGGAGCAGTTTTATCCATATTCTTCTCTGGAGGTAGCACTTGTCCTGGGCTCAGAAGAGTTGCCTGTGAGTCAGCCTGGGTGATCAGCAGTTCGGCAGGCAAGGTCACTCCCTGACCCCTTTTTGTAGTGATACAAATGTAGCATAGATGTCTCTCAATTAAAAACAAAAACAACAACAACAACAACAACAACAAAAAACCAAACAAGAAAAACCAACACAAAACCCCAGCCAACTGGCCATTTTATTGTAAGTCAAAAACCACTCGGTAAACGACAACATGTCTTTTTGTCAGTCAGTTATGACAATTCAGCATGAGGACTAAGACTGCAGCTGGTTTTGCAGTTTGCATTTATGTTTTTAACATCAAAGGCTTTACAGATTAGGGAGAAGCTCTGTCTCATCTACCCCGTCGTCTTCATTTGAAACCTGTCCCAGCAGCCCTGAAATGTTCGGGAGGAATTTTTCTACTGACTTTGGTAAGTCTGGGACCAGCCCCCTTGTGCTCCAGAATCTCCTCTGTATGTGAAGTGTGTTTCTTGTTCAATAAGTGCGTGTTTTGCTAGTCTCAGATGAGTAAAACTATGGCAGAAAAACGTTTTGTTACCAGAAGAGAGCTTGGATAAACATGGACACAGTCAGACAGTGATCAGTCTTTGTTAGCAAGATGTTCTTTCCATACAGTGCTTCTCCAAAGGTATGAGCTAACCCATGGCTCTCCTTCAAGTGGATTCTATGAGCATTCAGCTCAACTGCATTTTTCACACCTTGCAGGGTGAGTGAAGAAAGTATTCATTTCAGATGATGCAAACAGAATTTCAATCCTGCTATAATCATTTAGGAAGGTGTTTCTTTACATGCAAAGAGAATGGTTCAATGAAAAATATGAGAACAGTATGAGCAAATATTGATGCATTTCAGTATGCATCCTCCTGCTACCTTTGGCACGACACTTATTCCAAGAGCTGGAATGGAGGCAGGGAGAGGAAGTGCCTTCCTTCACATGATCGTTATTCCCTGGCCACAGTGTTCTCTGATAATGAGGGATGTTTCAGAGATGGTATCAAGTCACTGCTGCTGGTAGGACTTCTTCACAATGCCAAAACAAACAAGGCTGGAAAATTGCTAGAATCAACAGGATCTTGCCTTAATATTGCAGGCAAATGCTTGTCACAAGTCCAAGTCTGATAGGACTGGAAACTAAATGCTCCATTTACCCACGCAACAAATGAAAGAGTGGAGGTCAGGCATGTTTGGGAACAGCTCCAGTGTGGGCTCTAAACTGAAAACCTGAAACGTTAGAGAAGTACCAAAGGCTCTATTTCCACCTCTTTACCACTATTCAAGTCACTCTCAATCTGGTCATTCAACAATGAAGCGCTGCAAGGAAGATTGGGGATTTGTCTACTAAGGGCAATATTGATAGCTCAGTAATAGTAAGCTCAACTGATAGTGAGTCACATCTTACCGTGAGAGATTTGTGCTAGTTGATGAGACTTATTGAGTTTAAAATCTCTATTGACAGGAAAAGTGCCAGCAAAACTTCAGATATGGACATGAGGAGAGCAGACTTCAGATTACTCATGGAACTAGTAATTCAAGTGCCCTGTGAAAAAGTGTTTTCAGGTGCTGGGGTCCATCAGCGCTGATCACTTTTTGAACATCACCTCCTAAGGGCACAGGAGCAGGCAATTCCTAAAAATCAGAAGTAAAGGAAATGGAGCAGAAGAGGGGCTTGGCTGATCAGGGATCTTCTTTTGGAAATGAGGCAAAGAAGGAAGGTGTAGGATCAAGGTCAGGTGACATGAGAAGAATAAAGAGATACTGCTTGCCATGGCAGGGAGAAAAATTGTGTGGCTAAACCTCAACTAAAGTTGAAGCTGGCCAGAAATGTGGGGGGCAATACCAAGTTTTTTCAAATAAACTAATGGAAAGAGTCAGTGCAGAAATAAAATCTACCTGTTAGAGGATGAGGATGGTCACCTCACAAAGAAGGACAGGGACAAGGTAGAGATGTTCAGTGTTTTCCTTGCCTCTGCCAACTAACAACAGACTAAGGAGGTCCCAGTGCCCTGAGTTGGAAGACCACGACTGTGAGAAAGAAAAACTTGCAGTTGACTGTGAACTTGTGTGGGATCTGCTGCTCCAGCTGGACCCCTACAAAAATATGGGGCTGGATGGAATTCATCTGAGAATTCTCAAAGAAATGTGATGTCATTGCAAAACCTCTCTCAATGATGGAAACTGGCTAAAGTCCCAATTTTAAAGAAGGGCAAGAAGGAGGACCTCGGAAACTGGAGACCTGTCAGTCCCACTTTAGTGCTTATGGAGAATATTATTCTGGGAGGTGTTGAAAAACACCTGGAGTATAACATATTTATCAGTCTCAACCAACATGGCTTCATGAAGCCAAAATCCTGCTTGTCAAACCTGATTTCCTTTTATGACAAGGTAACCCACCTAGCTGAAATGCAATCTCTTTGGACTTTAGAATTTTATGCTGTGTCTCGAAACATCCTTCTGGACAAAATGATCAGCAAACAGCTGGATAAACAGATCATGTGATGGGTGAGCAACTGACTCACAGGTGGGGCACAAAGAGTTATAGTGAATGTGGTAACATCAGACTGGCGACCTGTCACTAATGGGGTTCCACAGGGCTCCATCTTGAGCCCAGTGCTCTTCAACATCTTCATTAATGACTTCAACAAAGGACTTGAAGGGATACTAAGCACGTTTGCAGACAACGTTGAACTGGGAGGAGCTGCCAAGTCCCTTGAGGGCATAGAGGCCCTGCAGAGAGTCCTCGACAAATCAGAGCAATAGGCAGTCACAAACCACAGGAAGTTTATGAGGGCAAGTGTTGGATTCTGCACCGGGGATGACGCAATCCTGGTTGTGTGTACAGACTGGGGAACGACAGGCTGGAAAGCAGTGCTGTGGAAAGGTACCTGAGGGTCCTGGTTGACAGCAAGTTGAATAGGAGTCAGCAGTGCTCTGGCAGCCAGGAGGGCAACTGTGTCCCGGGGGGCATCAGGCAAAGCATCACCAGCCAGGTGAGGGAGAGGATGGTCCTGCTCTGCTTTGCACTGGGGTGGCCTCACCTCAAGTCCTGTGTGCAGTTTGGGGCAGTACAATATAAGAAAGACATTAAGCTTTTAGAGAATGTCTAAAGGAGGACCATGAGGATGCTGAAGGGTCTGCAGGGGAATCTGTATGAGAAGCATCTGAGGTCACTTTATTTGTTCAGCCTGGAGAAGAGGAGACAGAAGAGAGACCTCATTGCATCCTCATGAGGGAAAGAGGAGGGTCAGACACCGATCTCTTCTCTGTGGTGACCAGTGACAAGACTCAAGGAAATGGGGTGAAGCTGAGTCAGGGCAGGTTTAGATTGGATGTTAAGAGAAGGTACTTTACCCAAAGGGTGGTTGGGCACTGGAACAGGCTCCCCAGGGAGGGAGTCACAGCACCAAGCCTGAGAGAGTTCAAGAAATGTTTGGACAATGCTCTGGTGTGATGGACAAGGCCCATGGTGTGAATCTTGGAGTTACCCCGTGCAAGGCCAGAAGTTGGACTTGATGATCTTGATTCCAACTCAGCATATTCTATGATTCCATAAATTAAATTAAACTATCTTCATTGTCAGAAAGAGTCCATTAGATTTGTTCCCTGAGAAAACAGATATTCTCTTCAGCCACAAAGGTAAGTTTTGCAAAATTTGATGTAAGTACAGTGAAGTACTATAAAGTGAAGTTTTGTGCATAATCAGATGAAAAAAAAAGTGATCGCAAAATGTGTAATGTAATGGACATTTACTATCAGTCACTGCTCAGAAATAAGTAAAGCCATTGTGGTTGAGTAGCTGGTCGTGTGCTGCTCCCGCTCCCTACTGTCACTCTCAAAAGGAGCTGTCAGTATCAAATCAGACTTTATTTAAAGATTTACAGGTTTTCCTTGCCAAGAAGTGAGAGACAAAGGTTAAAAGAATTCATATGCAGACATGTTCATGTGGCGGGGTGGGCAGTTTTTCAGTTGGCTACAGCCCTGTCGTGTACTGCAGAACCTCAGAGCTATCAAAGGGAATGTCTCCTTTGTTTCCTGCTAAATCCATAGAAGAAAATTTTGAACTATAGGATTTAAACTATAACAACTTGCTTTGAAAGGAGTTGAACATTAGGAGCACTAAGACCTCCTGGCCAGCAGCCCTGGGGACCTGTAAATACAGGGAGGTGCAGAGAGGGCAAAATGAAACAGGGAAGCACAGCTGGAAAACCATCACATTTTATTAGCCTCAAAATCTGTTCACATAAAATCACAGGTGGGTACCCTGAAGCCATGGACAAGGGTGTGCTGGTAGTGCCATGTCCTTGAGGCAGCTGGATGCAGCTGTTCCTGATGCTGTTGCATTCTTCCTTACTGGTCCCATTGTTTTCTGCCTGCTGGACAGATCCCAGGGCCGCAAGAGCAGCCTTGCCCAGGACCCCACTCCTGATGTAGTGGGTTGTGTCCAGCAGAGTTGGAGCTTCAGCTGTGGGGCTTTGGGGGACGTTTGCTGGGCTCTCTGGCCCTGCTGATGAGGTTGGTCCTTCCGGTGCCTCGTCCGTACTTCCTTTCTGGTCCAGCTGTTCTTCTGGCCGTTGGAGCAGTCCCTGCTGCTGTGGCTGTTGCTCTCACCATGTTATTTGTACGTTTTTCCAGTTTCTGCTGTTCTTCTGGATGCTGTTTGGAGCTCTGGTTCAATGGAGCAGCCTTGCCCAGGACCTCAGCCCTGATGTCCTGGGCTGTGTCCAATAGAGCTGGAGCACTGCTCGTGGGGCTGTTCAAGGTATCTGCCAGAATCTCTACCTCTGCTGCTGTGGCTGTTGCTCTCATCACCTCTTCTGTGCCTTGTTCCAGGTCCCTCAGTTCTTCTGGCTGTTGGCTGGTTCCCTGGATCACAGTTACACCCTTGCCCAGGACTTTTGCCCTGGTGTACTGGTCTGCGTCCAGCAGAATGGGGACATTGTCTGTGGGGCTGTGCAGGGCATGTTCTGGGTTCTCTGCCCCTGCTACTGTGTCTGTTGCTCTAATCACCTCATCTGTGCCTTGTTCCAGGTGCTGCTCTTCTTCTGGCTGCTGTTCAGGACTCTGGACCAATAGTGGAGCCTTGCCCAGGACTTCACTGATGTACTGGGATGAGTCCAACAGCATTGGAGCATCAGGTGTGGGGTGGTGTGGGACAAATGCTGGGCTCTCTGCCCCTTTTGCTGTTGTGGTTGTTGCTACCATTACCTCACCCATGCTTCCTTCCCGGTTCCACTGTTCTTCCAGCTGCAGAACAGATTCCTGGGTCATGATTACAGCCTTGCGCACGACCTCAGTCCTGAGGTACTGAGCTGTGTCCAGCAGAACAGGGGCATCACCTGTAGGCCTGTGCAGGGCTGTGTGGGGCATATGCCAGGAAACCTCTGTCCCTGATGCTGTGGCTATTGCTCTTGTCACCTCATCTGTACTTTGTTCTAAGTCCCTCAGTTCTTCTGGTTGTTGTCTGGTTCTCTGGATCACAGTAACACCCTTGCCCAGGACCTTTGCCCTGGTGTACTCGTCATCTGAGTCCAGCAGAATGGGGGCATCGTCTGCTGGGCTCTCTGTCCCTTCTGTTGTGGCTGTGGCTTTTGTCACCTCATCTGTACTTTGTTCCAGGTCCTGTTGCTCTTCTGTCTGCTCACTGAGTTCCTGGGACACAATTATAGCCTTGCGCATGATCTCACCCCTGATGTACTTGGCTGTGTCCAGCAGAGCATCATCTGTGGGGCTTTGGGGGGCAGGTATCTGGTTGTCTGCCCCTGCTGGTGTGGCCAATGACACATCCATGCTGTCTTCCAGGTCCTGTTGCTCTTCTATCTGCTCACTGTGTTCCCGGATCACAGTTACAGCCTTGCGTATGACCTCACCCCTGATGTACTGGGCCGTGTCCAGTAGACCATTGTCTGTGGGGCTTTGGGGGGCAGATGTCTGGTTCTCTGCCCCTGCTTGTGTGGACAGTGACACATCTATGCTGTCTTCCAGGTACTGTTGCCCTTCTGTCTGCTCACTGGATTCCTGGATCACAGTTACAGCCTTGCGCACGACCTCACCCCTGATGTACTGGGCTGTGTCCAGCAGAGCTGGTGTGCAGTCTCCTGGGTGGTGCTTCTTCTGCTCTCCTATACTGTATGTGGCAGTGGAGGCCCTGTGCAGAGCCCTTGGTGTGCTCTGGAAGAAGGATGTCCGCCTCTGGTGAGCCAGGGCATCAATGACTGTGGAGGGAGGGGATCTGTAGGTAAGTCCTGCAGGTATTCCTGCTGCTGTTGCTTCACTTATGCTTAGTTTCAGGTCCAGTTGTCTGCTGATTACATCTTCCCACTTCTCCTCCTGGGACAGCATTTTGTCTATACCCTCTTCCCACTCTTCCTCCTCGGCTAAGGCCACTGCCTCACTGGTGGAAGCATGAGCTTCCAGATGCTCCAGCACCTCCTTCTTGCTCATGGTGCCCATCTTAAACTTCACAAATACCACTTGTGGCTGCTGTGGTGTGGTCCATGGGAGGCTCATGCTCCTGTCTCGTCCTGTCTTAGGCTGCCTCATTCCCTCCTTGGCACTCACCTGCCCAGGTCTGCCAGAGAGCCCCCCTGACTGCCTCCGGGAGAAGCACTGTCCCTCGTTCTCTGGCTGCTGGAGCTCCCTGTCCTCCAAGTCATCCTGCTGCTGTGGCAGGGTGGCTCTCCGGAGTGGAGCCTGTCTGTACCTGGTGTGGGTCTGGCAGCTCTTGCACAGTTCCTCTGGAGGCTTCCTCTTGAAGGATACAACAACCTGCTTTACAACAGTCCCCTTCTGCTTGTGCCCCCCTGGCATGCTGCCGAGGTTGTACTCAATGCACACTGATGGCCTTGCTGGGTCCTGCTGTGCTGTTTGCTCCCAGTGGCCTCTCCGTGCATCTGCATCCCTACCCAGGGAAGCTGAGGAAGCCCTGCCATGTGTCTGTTTCATGTGTGCTGCCAGATGCTCCCTATCCATGTTTGCCTTTGGCATCCTCTGCCTCAGACTTGTCAGGGTTGCCCTGGGGAGCTACTGAGTCCTGAGGGAGATATTTCCTTAGGACCAGGCACCCCCAAGGCTCTCTGTTCCTAAACATTCCCACAGCAGGGGTAGGGCCCTGTGTCACAGTGGCCTCTGAGGAGTGTGATGCACCTGCATCACAAAGGACCATGGCACGGCACACCCATGTGAGGCTGACTGAGTCTGGTGGACTGCTGCTTCCTGCTCCATATCATAAGGGAAGGGATAAGTGTGAAGCCAGTCCGTTGTTTTACCTACCTAAGAGCCCGGGCTGGGTTGCAGCCACCTCAGACCCGGGGAAGACTGAGCCCCAGATCTTTGCCATTTGCTACTGTTTGCAGGTCTGGACAGTGCAAAACACCTGAGTTCAAGAAGTTAGTTCATAGATTGTAGTTTTTAGTATTTAAAGTCTTGTTTATGGTTACAGAAAGGAATAAAGTAGGGAACTGCACCCTTGAAGAGTCCTAGCGTGCACTGGTTGAACTGGATGTTGCATTATGCTGAGCTTGTGCATCCCAAAAAGTAGGGCTTCTTGGCTCTGGATGAGCACAGTTTTGAAACTATTAAATTTGTCGTTATTTGCATGATTTTAAACATTTTGTCTCAGCAAATCATGAACATGGCCAGTCTTACACTTCTTGTATCAACAAAGTTCCTTTTCTCTCCCAGAACAGGAAAAATAGTTTGAAGCTTCCCACTGGTTTAATATCTTTATTGATGATCTGGATGAGGGTATTGAGTCTATCATTAGCAGATTTGCAGATCCCCCCAAGTTGAGGGGGAGGGTAGGATGGCTCTGCAGAGGGACATGTACAGAATGGATAGATGGGCCAAATCCAATGGGATGACGTTCAACAAGACCAAGTGCTGGGTCCTGCACTTTGGCCACAATGACCCCAAACAGTGCAACAGGTTGGAGACAGAGTGGCTGGAGAGCAGCCAGGCAGAAAAGGACCTGGGGGTTCTGACTGACAGCAGCTGTCACACTGAGGCTGAACACGGGCCAGCAGTGTGCCCAGGTGGCCAAGAAGGCCAATGGCATCCTAGCCTGGATCAGGAACAGTATGACCAACAAGACCAGCGAGGTGATTCTTCCCCTCTACTCGGCACTGGTGAGGTCACACTTCAAATGCTGTGTCCAGTTCTGGGCCCCTCAGTTCAGGAAGGACATTGAAATGCTAGAGTGTGTCCAGGGAAGGGTAAAAAAGCTGGTGAAGGATCTGGAGCAGCTGAGGGAGATGGGGTTGTTAGGCCTGGAGAAGAGAAAGCTCAAGGGAAACCTCATCACTCTCTACAACTACCTGGAAAGAAGTTGTAGCCAGGTGGGGGTTGGTCACTTTTCCCAGGCAACTGACAACAGTACAAGAGGGCACAGTCTTAAGCTGCACCAGGAGAGATTTAGGTTGGACATTAGGAAGAAGTTTTTCACAGAAAGGGTGAGAAGTATGGGCTGGAGATGGAAGGGGCTGCCCAGGGACGGGATGGAGTCACTGTCCCTGGAGGTATTTAAGAGACTGGATGTGGTGCTTGGTGCCATGGTCTAGTAGAGAAGATTGTGTTGGATCAAAGGTTGGACTTGATATTTTATGGTTTCATTTCACCCAAAGTACAAAGAACCAGCATATGTTATCAGTCCATCATTGCCAGCTCTGTCATAGCTTGGATTTTTCATGGAGACTCCTCATGAGTTTTTGATAGTACAGGAAACAGAACTGGTTGCTGTGGTGTCAGTTCCTCTTGCATTCCCTTCGCTCATTGTCTTGTAAATTCAAGACATTGCCCCATACTTTGCATAAAGCTGTTCTGACCAGGACAGTGTTAATTTTTCCACTGGTCAGGAGGGGAATTGTCAGGACCTAGAGCTTATTTTATAACACCTCACATCATTGCCTGGCCGGATGAAAGGAGACTCTTCCAAGAAGAAGCTGTTCCCTCTGGCTTGAGTTCTGAGCTGAACAGAGCAGTTGAGTATTTTCTACTGTCTGGGATTTTCACAGTGAGCAGTGACATTTTCTTTTCTTGTACCCTATGTCATTAGCACTGTTCCTGCTACTCTTTATTTTCTTATCTCATTGCTGTTTCCAGTAAATTGTTCTTATCTTAACCTGTGATCTTCACCTTTTGTGCCTCAAGTTTCACTCTCCAGGCCCCTACAGGAAGCAGGGAGAGGGAGAGGGGGAGCAAGCAAGTGGCAGCGTGGCTTGGAGTTTTAGTGGGAACGCTAAACTGGGAAGTACCATTCCTAAGCCATGACAGCTCTCATGACAGCAGTACACAAGGTTTCCTTTTTATCTGATGGATTCATCTCATGACTCCATCAGTGTGCCACAGACCCCACAAAAGAGACATACAAATAAATATTTAATTATGTATCCTTATGCATGGAAAAAAGGGCTTGTGTGAGGATTGGATGAAAACTAGACCTGGAGTCTTGGGCTGCCTCTCCAGGCCTTGGAGAAAAAACATTAATTTACCATTTAAATCATAGGCTGAAGGGAAGATTTTTTTCTTATAGAGGGGGTGAGGAGGTCAAGAAGAACGCCAACTTTTTCTTGAGTCTGCAGAGCTTTACTTATTCTTCCAGTCATCTGAGAAACTGAGCACATACATTTGTGCTGGCTCAGGTGGGAGTGTTGTAAGGAAAATGGCTCCCTCCAGGCTCCAGCACATTTATCACCTCAGTTTCATCTATTCATAACATTTTTTTTTTTATCCATGCAGAAAGAGAGAGAAGGCCAGATTAATGTGGTGATAAATTTTGCATTACGGTGGACGAATTTATGGATGAACGCTTTCTGTCAGTTCAAACACACTTCAAATGTGAATGTCAGGTTTCTTCACTTGCTTGAAATACTGTTCTGGAGATGGAAGTCAAGAAGAGTTTTACAAAATTCCCTATTGTGACTTTAACTAACTCATAGAAAAAGATAATAATTTTGAAAAGTTTATGCAGATTTTGAAAAGTTTCTGTTGAGTTACAAGATTTGACTACTATATCCTCACTAGAAACCAGAATGTATTCTGTTAACAAAATCAGTTAATATGAAGAGTAAATGCATTATTTGGTCAGAAATGAGAGCAAACTGGGCTTTGACCAGCTTGCCTTGCTTTGAGGATCTCTTTCTACCTCCATGCATCTCAATAGAAAGACTCCCTCACATTTCAGTCATGTAGGACCAACTGCAGAGGCAAGAGACCAGCAAAAGCCTTTACAAAACAATGGAAATACGATGAAGAGAAATATCAGGACACTCAGCTGGTCTCTAAGTGAATGGAACAAGAACAACAAATAAAAGCTTGATCTTTCAGGAAAAAGAGTCTGTTTGGAAAAGGATGCATTCAGCCAAAGATATTGCACTTAAGAGGAGAAAACTGTGCACTTATGGAAGAAAAACTGTCTGCTGAGAGTTAGCAGGACACCAATATCCAGGAAGCTGAACTTTGGAAATGTGTGTGCATTTCTCTGAACACTTCCTAAGAGATACGGCAGAGTGGTCAGGGGCTTGAATACCCGCATCTTTTAGGATGGAGTTCTCTGTGGCTTTGGGAACATGTCAGGTAGTGCCTGGGAAATAAACATAGGAAGCTTGAGGAATGCAGTGAAAATTGTTTCTTTCATATCCTGTAAGAGAAGGTTGTTGTTGTTGTGTTTTTTGTTGTGTTTTTTTTTTTTTTTTTTTTTTGACTCTTGTCGTTTCTAAGGTCTGTTAAGGCTTGTTTGTTGTCAAAGGGTTTCCTTTGTTCTGCATCTTAAACAACCCAAAACAAAGACTTCTTGTTCCTTTTGTGAACCTGTTCTCCTTTCAATGCAAAGCAGTTGTCTGAGTACAGTTTCTGCAGACTTCCTAAGTGATTTAAAACAATCCCAAACATTATGATCCTGGATATGCCTTCTTTTCTACATTTTGGAAGGGGGTAAGGTGGTATTATTGCAGACAATTTAAGACCATAACAAAATGTGAGCTCCGGTTTAATTTGAGAACGGAAAGCAAATGGTATTGTAAAGCTTAATGTTTATAGGAAAGAATGCTTTTCCTTTTCAACCTCTTTCTTATGTCTGAAATGTGTAAGAGGAAGTTCAAAGAGGATATACACATTAGTTCCTACTTGGTTATTTTCCATATGTGAGGTCAGTAGATTTCAGTTGGTTAGTCTAGGTTCCTGAACAGCTGAAAAGTTTTGAAATCACCTTCCTGAGGTTTTGAAGTATGATATAATAACTTGCAAAGAAAACGATCAGTTTGAACAGGCTTCCTGCATTGCCTGTTTACTAGGAAAGTGAGAGTAGAGTTGTCTGAAATAGGAGAAGTCTGCAACCAAAATAATTTACAGCAATGACGGGTTTTTTACTAACCAGCATACCTTTTCAGCAGCCTTGAGACACTACCTCCTTCTACACTGGTGATTATAGGTGAGACCTTTCGGGAGAGGATGATTTATTGTTTCAGGATGATTTTCAGCACATCTGAAAAAAAGACCCACTTTGGTGGAACCTGGCTTTATAAAAAAAATCAGACAGAAATATATGCATATAAAACCCCCTAGACTGACCCTGCTATTTCAAACTATTTTGTAGATAGACATGTAAGGTTTGCATTTCTACATAGTATTTTCTCTCAAAAGGAGCAATAATTAATCTAATGCTGTGAGATCACAAAGTAATTTCCTCACGAAGATTGGATCAGGTTAATAGAACTGGCAGAACTCACTATTTGCATTCAAATATGCATTACTCACCTTCAGTTCAGAAGTGAACTGAAGTTTAAGTAAAGGGTCCTGAAGGATCAGGGATTGGCAATGAAACTACTTTCAACAGCAATTTCTTACAGAAATACACCTCATATACAGGGATATGATGGAGATGTTCTCAAGGGAAGCTTTGAGTTACTGCATGAAATAGCTGATGTCAAAATAATTAATCTGAAAGTATCTGAAGATGCTGAGACTGGCAAAAGTTCTGGAGATGTGTGTTGTGAATGAGTCTCATCACATTATTTTTGAAGTGACCTACAGAAAAAAGGTGGGGTTTGAAAGGTGCAATTTGGGTTCAAACTACTTTGGAGTGCTGAACAGTGTTTGGTTCTGCTCCAGGAAAAATAGC